TTGCTCGGCAGCTCTGGCTGTCCCGGGAGGCACTGACCTGCCCCCTAAGAAGAGGCTAGATGCCAGGAAGAAACTCTCCAAATCCATTGAGAAGCGTTTCCCTGAGGCCAAGCTGTTCCCACTGAACACAGAGCAGGAATCCTCGCTGCTCCTGAGGCACCTCAGCTCCCAGAAGCAGAGGCACTTGGCTTTCCGGGACCGCCGCGCTCACCTGCTGGCCCGTGCTGCTGAGTTTGTCCCCAGCCAGGACAGCGACCTGCTGGGCACCCTGAAGGTGTCCGGCTTTGTCCGGGGACAGACCCTTAACGTGAACAGCCTGGTGCACATCGTGGGGCACGGGGACTTCCAGCTGAGCCAGGTGGATGCTCCCCCTGACCCACTCTCTTTGAACCCACGGGTGGTTAAAGGACAGAAGAAGAGCCAGGACATGGAGGTTCAGGTGTGTGGGGTGAGAGCTTTGCCAGTCCTCTTAGAACATAAGTTTTCTAAACATTCATTGGGGAAAATACAGCTGGGGGTATGTGGGTGAGGAGAGGGGAAGGGGAATTCTCTCTGTGTTCTGCTGCTGGGCTGAGGTTTTGTGCCTGCAGTGTGTAACGAGGGTTATGTCACGACATTATGAAGGGAGTTTCACCTGAGACTGACTGCAAGCTTCAGTTAGGTGTGTTCAGATCTAGGAACTCCGCTCTTCCCCTTCAGGATGACTCTGGAAATGGTGCTGTTGAGATGGAGGAAGATGTCAAGGTGCTGATGAAGGCAGATCCAAGCAAGCAGGAGTCTCTACAGTCAGAAGTGGTTCCTGATCCCATGGAAGGGGAGCAGACGTGGCCCACTGAAGAAGAACTGCAGGAAGCAGAGGGTGAGCAGAAGCAATAATTCTGTATCTCTTCTGTGTCCTTCTTAGAGGGTTGTTAGAAACCTCTGTCACCAGGGTGGCTGTGAAGAAGCATTTAGTTGGGATGGCTTCCATCCCCAGTCCCATCAGGTGGCCAGCAGGCTGTGTGGATTGCCTGGCAAGTTAGCAGGTTTTGGCTGTCCTGACAAATTCTATGCTGGGAAAAAGGCAATTCTAGTCTAGATCTGGTTTTGGCTGCCTTGGTGTAAATGTTGCCGAGGGGAAGGAGAACTGTTCCTGTATTAACCACTGGTGGGAATCCTACAGAATCTCTGAAGGCAAACAGGAGGGTGGTGAAGGTCCCCAAAGGCACATCCAAGTACCAGGCTGCCTGGATTGTGGATGATGGAGAAGAAGGAAGTGAGAAAGATGATGATGGTGATGACGAAGATGACGACATGGATGATCTGATGGAAGAGGCAGTTTCTCAGGTACCTCCAAGAGCTGATAGTACAGGTGATCTCCAGGCCATTACTGCATGCTCTAGAAAGATTCTGTCCTTCCAGCTTGCTTTGTCTGTGCAAGGGCATGATGCAGAGCCAGGACTTGCCTGGATCTCTGCTCTTAAATCCCACATGTATTACATTGCTTCTTTGGCCTGTTAGACCCCAAAATGATGGGCTGGGGTCCTAAATCCCACAATGTGAGCACACCCAGGGTGCCAGTGCTGCATGCACAGCTCTGTGCTCACAGGCTCTGTGCTGCCCTGTGCCAGGAGGGGGAGAGCAGTGAGGAGGAAGCTGGGGAGGAGGAGAGTGAGACCATGACCGTGTCCGAGTGCCTGCGGGATGACCAGTACGACGAGAAGATGGAGGAGGACGAGCAGATGCTGGAGAGATACAAGCAGGAGAGAATGGATGAGATGTTTCCAGATGAGGTGGACACGCCACGGGATGTGCCTGCCAGAGTCAGGTGAGAAATGGGATGCTCTGCTGGGAGAGGAACTGGAAGGTGCCTTTCTGTTTAGTTTGGTGAGGAAGCCTGTGATGTCTTAGCCGTGGTGTCTGAACCTGGCTGAAGGACTCTAGTGAAGATTCTTTCTGGCTCTGAGGCTTCCAGAGCAGGCACTAGTTGGCAGGGAGAGCTGGGTCCTGACCTGGGAGAGGGAGGAGGATGGCCCTGAGGCAAGGACACGTTGTTTGGGGATTTGGCTGCTGGCTTTAGCTCTCTTTTCAACACCACCTTTCCTGAGGGCTAATGTTTGCTTTGCACCCTTTGTCCTCCCTGAGGGTGTGAGACCCTGCAGACCACAGGTGTGGTGAAGGATGGGATTCACCTCAGTCGGTGAAGTAATTTGTCTTTCCTGCTCTCTGTTCTCAAGGTTCCAGAAGTACAGGGGGCTAAAAAGCTTCCGGACTTCTCCTTGGGACCCCAAAGAGAATCTTCCACGGGATTATGCCAGGATCTTCCAGTTCCAGGACTTCTCCCGAACCCGAAAGAACCTCTTCAGGCAAATAGAGAAGGAGGAGACTGAAGGAGCATTGGTAATTCCCTTTTGCTGATCTTTTTCCCTGTAGTGTTCTTTTGCTCCCAATAGGAGTGACTTGCCAGGGAGGTGGTTGGGTGGATCTTTCAGCCAGCTGGTTCTTAGCAGGAAGCCCTAAATTCAGACAGTTTTCTCCTGGATTCCCTCCCTAATCCAGGCACATCTTCTGACACTTTTTTTTTGTTGTTGAGAGAAGTGTTCACAACTGCTCCTGTCTTGGCAGGTGGGCTGGTACGTTACACTTCATGTCTGCAATGTCCCTGTCTCGGTGATGGAGAGCTTCAAGGAGGGGAAACCCCTGGTCCTGTTCTCACTGCTTCCCCACGAACAAAAGGTGAACATAAGGGATAAACCTTGGAGGGATGTGCAGCTCCCTGTTCCTTCAGGCTGCATGGTTTGGGGAGGTCTGGCTGCACAGGGTTTGGGCTGAAATCTCCCCACATTGCTCCTGTTTCAGAGCAGGTCAGAGCACACAGAAGCTGCCTGGGGAGTTTAGGATAAAGTGTCTGAGCCTGGCACTGGTGACTAGCGACCTTTTGGGACCCCATTTTCGAGGGCATTCATCTCTGCTGCAATGTCCTGTTGTTTTCTGCTGCCCACCACCCCCTGGCAGCAGCCCCTCACTGTGCTGCCTCTCCCAGATGTCCGTGTTGAACTTCCTGGTGCGTCGGCATCCGGGCAACAGCGAGCCAGTGAGGGCCAAGGAGGAGCTGATCTTCCACTGCGGGTTCAGACGCTTCCGAGCATCCCCCCTGTTCTCCCAGCACACCTCAGGTTTGGCAGGGACTGGGTACAGCAGCACTGGGGCTGGGAATTCTGGAGCAGGAAGCCTGTGATGTCTTAGCCATGGTGTCTGAACCTGGCTGAAGGATTCTTGTGAAGACTCACTCCTAGGCTCTGAGGCTTCCAGGGCAGGCACTAAATCATGGGGAGTAGAATGGCTTGGGAAAGGTGGTTCACTGATCTGGGTAAGGTTCAGGTTCCATGCCAGAGGATCAACTGCATTCCCAGATAGTCAGTGCCAGCAGAGGAGGGGTGTTTGTTGAACAGGGAAGATGAGCTCTGGGGTTTCTCACAGCTCTGAGGACTGCTCTTGGCCTGAACTTGATCATTGTTGCTCTGTCCTAGCTGATAAGCACAAGCTGGAGCGTTTCCTGCGCCCAGATGCTGCCCTGGTGGTGACTGTCTATGCTCCCATCACATTCCCTCCTGCCTCAGTGCTGCTTTTCAAACAGAGAAGTAATGGTGAGTTGATAAATGCTGAGGAGGTGGTGTCTGGGAAACAAACTGTCCCCATACCCCGCTTACAAGTGCATCTCTCCAGAAAGTACAACTTGAAAAAGCTGTTCCCTTCCTGCTGTTAGGGATGAGCTCATCTCCATCCCTGTTGTCACTTGTGTGTCCCTGCTGTGGGCCTGCAGCCCTTTGGGGAAGGGGTTTGTGGTGGGGAAGGGGTGATGGAGGCACCTGCCCTGGTGCATTGGTGGCTCTGCCTGGCAGGAATGCACGACCTCATTGCCACGGGCTCCCTGCTCTCCGTGGACCCCGACAGGATCGTCATCAAGCGCCTGGTGCTCAGTGGCCACCCCTTCAAGATCTTCACCAAGACGGCTGTCGTGCGATACATGTTCTTCAGCAGAGGTACAGCTGGTCTCTGCTGGGAGGAGGGGTTCTGGAAGTTCTGTCCCTGTGGTTATGTTGGTGCAGCACAGCCTGTTCCTCACCTGCCTTTTGTGTTTCCATCTCCAGAGGATGTGATGTGGTTCAAGCCCGTGGAGCTGAGGACAAAGTGGGGACGCAGAGGGCACATCAAGGAGCCACTAGGTAGGTTTGGTGTTTATCTCTGTGTTACTGGCGTGGTGTGATCCTCCTTTGCCTGAGAGACTGCTAATGGCCTCTTCTGCCCTCTGCCTAGGGACCCATGGCCACATGAAGTGCCACTTTGATGGGCAGCTCAAGTCCCAGGACACGGTGCTGCTGAACCTCTACAAGCGTGTTTTTCCCAAATGGACTTATGACCCTCATGTCCCGGAGCCTGTGCCATGGGTGAGGAGTGAGAGTGCACTGCCAGAGCGGGAGGTGGAGATGGAATGAGTCTCCAGCATGGCTGGAGTTTGTGCCTTGGCTCCCTGGATGCTGTTCTTGGCCCGTGCACTGTGAGGATAGCTCTGATGCTTCGGATGTGTTACTGCTGGGGTCTGTACAGGGGCAGCTGCTGCTCAGGTACCAGCTACTGCTATTTATTTTAATGGAAAATGTCAAAAATGCCTAAGTGCCTCTGTCGTGGTGCTGGCCAGGAGGCTGTGTGCACCCTTGTCCCACTGGGATTGTTTCATGCCCTGCCACGTGGGGTGTGTGGGGATTTTGCTGTGTGGAGGAGTTTGCTGGCAGTTCCTGTGATGCTGAGAAAGAAAAGCCAACTAGCAGCTGGGGAGGGTGACTGAGTGCAGCTCTCTGGAGGCCTGGGCCAGAGCAAGGCAGCTGGAGAGGGGAGAACAGGCAGTGCTTTGTTTCCAGCCCCCCCACAGAGACCAATGCCAGCTTCCCTTCTCCCTCCACAAAAACTCCCAAATGTTTGGACTTGATCTGTTTTCAGTCACGCACAAACCACTGCACAAATGCAGAGTGACGTTTTCATTCCATGAAACACCACTCCATCCTCATTCTGCTTTCCCAGAGAGGTCTGTGAGCCAGGTCAGGGATCTCAGGTCCACGTTTCCCCCGCACAGCACGATGCAAACGTTCTGCACGTCCCAGGGGACTGCCTGGAACTGCTCCGAGAGCACGGCCGCCAGTCCCACGCCTGCTGTTGGCTCGATCAGCAGCTTCATCCTTTCCCACACCAGCCACGTGGCTCGCTGTCGGGACAGGGCAGCAGCTGTCAGCCCAGCAGCCAGCACAGGCTGCTCCAGGGCATCCCTGCAGCACTCTGGGAAGGGAGGGCAGAGCTCCCAACAGCCCTTTCCAGCTGGAGACAGTGTGGGTGTCACAGCTGCAGGGGTGCACCGGGGCTTGCGCTGCTCTGGGAGTGTGTTGGGGTGAGAGCAGAGGGGCAGGGCGGGGGTGAAGGCAGCTGCCTGCTGGCAGCTACCGTGAGAAGGGAGCTGGGAGCTTTTACCTTGATTTCTTCCTCTGAGACTGTCAGGACATCATCAACCAAATCCCTGATGATGGGCCACGTGTTGGGTCCGATGCTGGTTTTTACTGCGTCTGCGATGGTGTCCCGCGGGTGGAGGTTGGGGGTCAGCTCCCCTCGGACCTTGGACTGGTAACAGTCATCCACGTTGCTTGGCTCAGCAGCAAACACCTTCACATCTGGCCTCAAAGCCTGGGGGGAGCAGGAGGAGCCACCTGGGTGACACCAGTGTGTGCCCATCCCCTGTTTCTGTGTGGGCAGGGGGCTAGGCAGGCCCTGCTGCTGCTGCTGCTGCCGTGCAGACCCCAGGCACCCAGAGACTTTCACTGCAGGGTCTTTCTGCTTAAAGCTGCTGCCTGCCTTGAGAGTCCTGCCCTTCCCACAGGGAGGTTCCTGGATGAGCTGTTGCCTACCTTGATGGCGACTGCTATTCCTGCAACCATTCCTCCACCTCCAACGGGAACCACCACTGCATTTACCTGGGGTGCCTGTGCAGAAAGGAAGTGTGAGGGCTTCTGACACTTTGTGTCCCCCTTTTTGCTGTGCCCCTGCAGGGGCTGGGCTGTGCATTTCCCTCACCTGCTCCAGCACCTCCAGGGCGATGGTGCCTTGCCCTGCAATCACTGCCAGCTCCTGGTTGGGGTGCACCAGGACTCCTCCTGTCTCCTGGACTACAGTGGATGCTGTCTCGGCTCTGGACTAAGGGAAAGCACAGCGGTCACCTCTCACTCTGCCTGGGCTATCCCTGGGCAGCCTCTCCTGTGCCTTACCTTGTCATTGGGATCACACGGCACCAGTGTGGCACCGTAGGCACGAATGGCATCTTGCTTACACTGCGGGGCAGTCCGGGGCACCACGATGTAGGCAGGAATACCTGTGGGATGAGAGAGGAAATCAACCCAAAAGTCACAGCGGCCAGTTCAAACTGCAGGAGCAGGAGGGACCTGCATCCTCCCCAGCGGAACCAGCTGTGCATTTACCCTCGGGGCTGGGGGAGGTGGGGGGCACAGGTTACCTTCTGCCCGAGCAGCACAGGCCAGTGCCTGCCCGTGGTTGCCGCTGCTGTGTGTCACCACGGCGCGGGGCGGCTCTCGGCCGCTGCGCTGCCTTTGCTCCACGAGGCTCCTCACGGCGTTCAGGGCACCGCGAATCTGCAGGGAGAGCTGTGTGTGCTGGGCTGGATGTCCTCCATGTACCACCCACCCCTCCTTCATCCCCGGGCAGCACCCGTGAGGGTGAGGGAGCTGCTGGGTGTCGCATGGCGAGTTTCCCTCTTGCAAAAAGCGACCCTTGCCCCGCCGCCATCCCTGCGCACCTTGAAGGACCCGGTCTTTTGCAACAGCTCGCACTTGAAGAGCAGCCTCCTGCCGGCCATGCGGTCCAGCCCCGCGCAGGTGAGCAGCGGGGTGCGATGGATGAGGCCCCGCAGCCGCCGCTCCGCATCCCGCACCTCGCTCAGCCCCAGAGGCAGCGTCGCCATCGGAGCGGCGCCTGCGCGCGCGGCCGCGGCGGCAGTTTGTCCCTGCGCGGCCGCCGTCGGCGCCGCCCGCCCTCCGCGGCGCAGCCAAGATGGCGGAGGGGCTGGAGCGCGTCCGCGTCTCGGCCGCCGAGCTGCGGGACATGGTGGCGGCGCAGGCCCGCGCGGCCGGCGGCGGGCGAGGTGAGGGGCGAGGTGAGGGGCACTCGCCACCCGTTGCTGGGCCGTGCCTTTGGTGCAGAGGCGGCCGCGCACGGCCCCGCGGCCGCGCTGCTCGGCTGCGCCTGGGGTAGGGTTTGAGGTAGCGCTGCCGCCACACCGGCGCCGGTACGGGGCTGTCCGGGACGGGAGCGCACTGCCGGCACCGCGCTCAGAACCGGGAGGCTGCGGGGCGGGCGGCGGTGGCTTTGCCCCGGGATGGTCGGTCTCAGCCCCTCGGGGTCCACCGGGCCGAGCCCCCGGTACCGGCGGAGGTTCGGGGCTGCGGCCGGTGCGCGGTGCTGACAGGAGAAAGTTTAGAGAATGCAGCGGGGAACAGCCCGGCTTTGGTCGGTCGTTTAACCGTGCGTGGTCCGGCCTGGGCTCTGTAGCTATTTTTTTTTTTTGTAAATATGGTTAAAGGAGGAGGAGAGAAACGTTACCGGATTGTGAGCACGGGGGAAAGGCGTCTTTGACTCCAGACGCTGCTGGGGATGGCAGCTCCTGCGCCAAGGGCAGGCAGGTGGCTGCTGCTGAACCTGTGGTGATACAACTTTACTCCTTGTGCTCAAGTCTGGTGTTGTGCTTTGAGGAAAAACCTGTTGCAGGACGGGATTTGTAAATGGCTCAGGCCAAGGATTTGGTCAGTTGTATTACACTGTCTCATTTTCTACTTTATTCCGTGATTTCCCGTAAATATTGCCTAAATAGATTTTCAGATCTCTCCTGGACATGCCCTGAGGGTGGCAGGCTCTTTGCCTTGGCTTGAATATTTGTCATGATATTTTTTGGTCCCTGGGGATAACTTTCTTCTGTTTTTCCCCAGAAAACATGAAGGAGGTGAAGGAGCCGAGGCACCGCAAAGACAACAGGCGTCCAGACCAGGAGATTTACAAACCTGGTCTCTCCAGACTGAGGGGCAAACTCGTGTCACCAAAGCAAGAGGCCTCAGAGAAGGAAAGGAGCAGAGCTGAGGAGGACAAGGAGGAGAGTGCTGGGGACAAAGACTCTGTGGGAATGGGAGCTCCAGCTGTGGAGGACTGTGACAAAAGCAATGGCCCCAAGCAGAACGGTCCTTCACAGGACAAGGAAGAAACAGAGACCAAAAGGAGCCTGCAAAGCCAGGAAAACTCATCCAAGCAGCCCATTGTGGATGAGTGGTGTCCAAAGACCCCCAGGAGAACCAAGAAACCAGACCAACAGATCTACCAGCCTGGGAAACGCCTTCACTCCGCTGCTAAAGAGCCCTCCCTGGCCAGCGAGGAAATCACCGGGAGGATGGAGCAGCTGAAAGTCGAGGGACATGAAGAGACTGAGAAAAGCACTGGGAAAGACAACAACAGGAAAATGAAATCGAGCAAGGAGGATAGAGAGGGGAGCCAGGCAGGGGAAGCAGTGAAAGCCTCCAGGGGGGATAAAGGGAGACGAGCAGAGCGAAGTGAGAGGCTGAGGAGGGCGGGGGATGAGGTGCTGCCGGGCAAGCTGGGCTCCACCAAGCGCTACTCCCGCACGGACAAGCGGCGCAGCCGGTACCGCACCTGCAGCACCAGCTCAGCCGGGAGCAGCAACAGCACGGACGGAGCCCTGCTCGTGGACGGCGTGGAGAGGAGGCAGGAGCGTGCCAGGGAGAGGATACGTCCTAGGAAGCAGCTCTCCGTGTCCTCCACGGACTCCTTGGATGATGACAGGATTGATGAGGCTGAGGTGTACGTCTCCAGCAGGAACTCGGACAGGAGAAGGCATTCGGAGCAGAGCCGAGCTTCCAGGAGCGAGAGCGAATGGAGCAGCAACGGCAGGGAAGTCAAGGGACCCTTTCGAGTGACATTTGACAGCAGGACCATGAACAGGGATGTCACCCTGGCAGATACAGATAAAAAAAAGTCCTTGAAGGCCTTAGAGGTTTCAGAGGCGAGGAGCCAGAGCAGGGAGCCCCAAGGGAGGGGCCGTGGGATCCTGTTCCTGCCTGCCAACACGGACCTCTCTGCCAGCTCAGGGGGTGTCCCTGAAGCCACTCACCCCGGGCCCAGGCTCCTGCTGGGTGGGGCTGGCAGCAAAGGCCCCCGGAGCCGGGGCCGAGGTGGCACTGCCCGCCGGCTGTGGGACCCAAACAACCCGGACCAAAAACCCGCCCTGAAGAGCCAGACTGCTCAGCTTCACTTCCTAGACACGGACGATGAAGTGAGCCCCACCTCCTGGGGGGAAGCCCGCCAGGCCCAACCCTCCTACTATAAATTCCAAAACTCTGACAACCCCTATTATTACCCTCGTGCCTCCGGGCAAGGCCCCCAGTATCCCTACGGTGGCTATTCCCTGCAGTATCCTATGGGTCCAACCAACGGGGTGTACCCAGGAGCCTATTACCCCGGGTACCCTGGCCAGGCAGGGCAGTACCTGTGTGGCCCACTCGCCAATAATCTGGGCCCCCCTGACCTGGAGCAGCAGATGAGGAACTTCCACCAGCAGGAGCTCAGCAAACTCCTGCGTGAGGCTGGGAACCAGGAGCAGCAGCTCAGCAACCTCCTGTCCAGAGACCGCATCAGCCCCGAGGGGCTGGAGAAGATGGCCCAGCTGAGGTTTGTGGGTGGGCTGTAGAGGGAGGAGTGAGTAATTTCCAGGGTGAAATACAGGAGAATTGTGTCTCCTTGAGGCTCTCTGTGTCTCGGTGGCTGGGAGATGTGGCACTGGGTTTTTGATGTGCTGGGTCTGTTTGTTGTGTGCCAGTGGTGTGTGGGTGGTGGAAGGAAGCTGTGGGTGAGGATGGATGTCACTTCCCTGGGCTGGGAGCTAAACCGTGGCTTCTTGTGCTTGGTGAATGCCTTGCAGGGACACAGAGGAGTAGGACAAGCACCTCCTGCAGATTTTTGGCTCTTGTTGGAGCTGATGTTTCTCAGCTCCAGTGCTCTCAGTGTTGTCAGACTTTTGCTTTCTTACCTGTCCTTAGTGTGTGCTCAGGAATCATTTTGTGTGTTCGTGGTGCTGTCAGTGGCAGTGCCTTTCCAGTGCTGTGTAGTTTTGCTCTTGATGCCACTCAGCGTGGTGACACTCCAGTGGGAGTAGCCTGGTAGTGCCAGTCTGTCAGGAGAGAAGTAATAGTGTTACCCTGGGGGTGGTTAACATGGCTGTAACAAGTTTCTACTTGGCATCTTTCAGGTTTATTTGTGATCTCTGTGTCTGCAGGGCTTCTCTGGAGGCTGTTTTTCAGAGCTGACTGACAGCAAATCTAGCAAGTGAGCTCAGTTCAGGGCTTGTTCTTTGTTTTGGGTACTTGCTCTATAGACCACAGAGTGGAATATGTCTGCAATTGAAAGAGCATTAGAGGTTTCAGTCTTCCTCGAGGAGCTGAGATCTCCCAGAGCTGTTGTGTGGAGGGAGAGAAAACCCTGGAGTGCTGCTGTGGCCTGTGGAAGCCCACCCTGCCCTGGCAATGTGGGCACAGTTGACCCTCTGCGTGCTGGCAGTGCCCCTTGTGTCCTGTCTGTGTCCAAGTGCCTGCTGCCAGCTGTGTGGGGACTTCACCCAACATCCATCTGCAGAAATGTCCAGTTCCCTTGGTGTTTGTGCTGTCCAGGTGTGTGTACAGGGTTTGGGGACTGTGTGGGGTCAGGCAGCCCATCCTGGCTCTGTGCTTTGTGCAAGAACCCACCAGCATTCTTCTCTTATCCTGTCAGGCTCTTCCAGGCATTGCCATCTGGCTTCGCTCCAGGCTTTACCATCCACGCTCTCCTACTGTTTCTGTAGGACTTGAAACATTATAAGGAATAAGGCAGGAACAGCTGAGGATCCTCTTTACCATTAGCTTGCCCCACATGTTTCAGAGCTGTTCCTAGCTTGCAGGTATTTTATTAAATTTGGGGGGAGGAATTCTGCTCCAGCATCCAGGCAGGGCTGTAGGTAGCTAAGAAGGGGAATGTGATTTCTGGGACTCTGAGGTTTATTTCCATTGTTCCCAACTCGTTCATTTTTGAGGAAGCAGGGTCTGTGTCTCTGCTGTGTGTGTTGGTTGGCTGGAAGGGGAGTGGGGGTCATTTTAATGGCAAAGTCTCTGTTGCCCTGTGGTTGTGTTCTGTGTTCATACCTTGTGCTCAGAAGGAGCAGAGCCTGGCAGTGTGTGTGTTGTCTGTGTTGGATCAGGAGACACTTGTGCCTTGCTGTTGGCAGAGCTGTAGCCTTGCTCCTTGCTCTTTGCCAAGCCTTGATCCATTCTCAGTCACCTGTACGAGGGAGATGCTCCTCGTGGATTTGCCCTCTTGGAGCAGGAAGGGTGTTAGATTGCAGCAGCTCCCATCTCCCGGGGGGATGTGTGTGAAGCACTGAGTGCTGCTGGCAGCTGGATGTGAGCAGCAGGTGGTTCAGCACGTGTTCCCTGTGTTCCTGGGCAGTTGCTGCTGCATTGACCCTTCCCTGACTGTGTTTTTTGCTGTAGGCTGGAGATGCTGCAGCTCTATGAACGGTGCATCCTCATGGATATTGAGTTCTCTGACACTCAGAACGTGGACCAGTTGCTGTGGAAAAATGCTTTTTACCAGGTGATTGAGAAATTCCGGCAGCTCCTCAAGGACCCTCAAGGGGAAAATGCCCAAGAAATTCGGAACAAACTGCTCTTGCTTCTAGATGAGGTAAGAAGAGAGAAACATCTCCAGATTCCACTAAACCTTTGGGTGGGATTGACTGGTTTTTAGAAAGGGATGGTGTAATGGGGCAACTGGTCATGTTGATCTTATTCATGTCTCCCTGTGCCTTAGGTCATCCTTATGCAAAGAGGGTGCTCAGGCACATTATGGTTTAGTGGGAAAGGTGTAGGTCGAGGCTGACATCTGTTACAATTTAAATCAG